TCATATTTCAAACTCAGCTTGCTGACTCCAAACATTGTATTCCAAAATGCCTCATCTTCAGAATGACACCAGTTTTTAAAGCCAGTTCATCACACAATATCAGTTGAAGAGAGTTTAGATATAAAACACAATTAACATTTTTCAGGTAAAAATTGATATTCACAAGTATGTGTTGAATCTTCGTTCCCCTAGTATGTAATAAGAACAAAGTAAAGACCTCATTTTAATTTTGTGTCTTTATAAATACTGGAAATTATTGAAACAGATACTTTTCATTATTATGTATTTGGTTTATTCTTTCTTAAAAATTTTCTTTATTCTAGAGACTTTCTTACAGGTTTATGATGAAATATGATCACATATATTCCTAATTTCTGCTACACTAACATGTCCTCTATGACCTATATTCCCTTCACTGAAATCTCCTTGTATAGTTGGTATGTGTCTACATCACTGTTCTACTGCTGTGAAGAGACACCGTGACCAAGGCAATTCTTATAAAAGAATTTGTTGGGGACTTGCTTACAGTTGCTAAGGTTTAGTCCATTATCATCATGGCAGGGAGCATGGCAGCATGCAGGGACATGATGCTGGAGAAGTAACTGAGAGTTCTACATCCTGACTTTCAAGCAGAAGGAAGAGAGAGAGAGAGACTGGTTGTGGCATAGACTTTTGAAAACTCAAAGTCCACCTCCAGGGACATGTAACACAAATATTAAAAGGTCTTATTAATAAAATCAAACCCAGAGCCAGGTATCAGGTTAAAGCTGGAAGATCAGAGGAAGCAGAACAAGCCACAGCCACCTCACCTTGCCAGTTCCTCAGCTGATTCTGTTTCCTCAGACTGGAAGCCTCTGTGTCCTCATCCAAATGGATCTCAGCTGAACTGCTACTCAAAAGCCTAAAAGCTTAACCAGGCACTAGTTCCTGGTCCTCATGCCTTATATACCTTTCTGCTTCTTGCCATCACTTCTTGGGATTAAAGGCATGAGTCAGCATGCCTAGCTGTTTCCAGTGTGGCCTTGAACTCACAGAGATCCAGACAGATCTCTGCCTCTGGAATGCTAAGATTAAAGGTGTGAGTGCCACCATTTTCTGGCCTCTATGTCTATCTAGTGGCTGTTCTGTTTTCTGACCCTAGATAAGTTTATTAGGGTGCACAATATTTTGGGGAACACAATATCACTGCAGGGATACACTTTCTCCAACAGGGCCACACCTCCTAATCTTTAATTATTATTCTTAAGAAACTTTTTATTCACTTTACATATCAACCACAGATCTCCCTCTTCCTTCCTTCCACCCCTCCAGCTCCCACCCCCAACCCACCCCCCATTCCCTCCTACAAGAAGAAAATCATTTCAATCCCTGGTGATAATGTTTTCCAATATATGAGCTCGTGGGGGACATTTTTATTCAAAGCACCACAGTTGGCATTTTGTGGAAATGAATGGGTTCTGCCTAGCTGTCTGGCTCATATCTGAAACAGTGCTCACCCAGTATAGCCTTTGGCACAACATTCTTTCTAAAAACATTGTCTTAATAATAGAATATTTCCTCATAGAAACAAAATGGAAAACATTCTTTTTTTTATACTATTGATTGACTGCAGGCTGGGTAAATTATAAAATATAAAATTCACTTGGCTCACAATCCTAGAGATCGGAGTGTTTAAAGGCAAGTTCTGGAATCTGGTGAAAGTGCTGCTGTAGTCTACACTGGCAGAGAGGCAAGTGAGTAAACAGACAGGAAACAGAGATTCAAAAAAAAAAAAACAGGCTGCACTTAACCCTTCCCATTAGGTGCCCATTCCCACCGCAATTAGCACACCTTTGTCATGCCTCATTTCTGCTGTCAGCAGCAGCAAAGCATACATGCATTGATGAGGGCAGAGCTCTCCCAAACTAGTCATGTTTTAAAGGTCTCACCTCTAAAATGGTAATGAAATATCAACATGAATTTTGTAGGGTGATTTCAAAGGATGACAAACTAAGTGTGCTGTTTCCATAAAAGAGGGTTTATTTGGCTTCTGTGTCTGGTTCACAGTCCATCTTTAAAGACATCAGGACAAGATCCTGAGAGGGAACTTTTGGGTGGGAATCAAGGAGGAACTGCTTGTTGGCGTGCTATCTGCCTGACCTGCAGTGTTGTGTTTAGCTAGAATTTTTTTTCTTCTTCTTATATGTTCCGGGGCTACATTCCTAGGAAATAAGAACCCTCACAGTAAAAGCCAGGCAGGCGGTGGTGGTGCACGCCTTTAATCCTAGCACTGGGGAGGCAGAGGCAGGCAGATCTCTGTAAGTTCGAGGCCAACCTGGGCTAAAAAGTGAGTTCCAGGAAAGGCGCAAAACTACAGAGAAACCCTGTCTCGAAAAAAAAAACCAAAAAAAAAATAATAATAATAAAAAAAATAAAAAGAACCCTCACAGTGAGATGTGCTCTTTTATATCAATTGACAGCCCAGACAACTCCTCACAAACATGCCTACTCACACAACAACATTATAAAGACAAAAGACAACTACCCAATTAAGACTTTTTTTTCCCCCCAAGTGATTGTAGGATCTTTCAGTTGACAGTTAATCCTAACTAGGACAGAATGTTAAGCACTAAGTGCATCAACTAAAGTGAATTAATTAATCATTGTCTGGCCTATTACAAAATCTTTATAGATGTTAGATTTTTAAAAATTCTTCATTTGCCCTGGCTGCCAGCCTCATGTTACATTCCCACACATAACCATCACAAAGCTACTGGCTCTGGTCATTCACAAAAATGCTATTGACTTGAGTTTTTTACCCTCTAAAATCAGCCATTTGAATGGTGGGTTCATGTAGGATTCAAGTTCTATAGCACTTGAGAACTATGGGCTTAAGTGGCTCACTGAGGTGCTATTCCACATTTAATAGCATCTTTCACTGAGTATTTCTTCCATATCTCATCCTTCTTTATGAACCAGAATGTGATCTTACTATAAACAGCAAGTATGTAGCCAATTCCACATATTGTATAATTTTCTTGAGCCTTTGATCTGTAACTCCAGTAAAAGAAAAAAAAGAAAAGAAAAAAATTTCATCTCATCCATGGAGACGTAATGGAAAAAAAAAATGGATCCTCTGAATGAAATATCCATTGCACCAACAAAAACAACTGTGCTTTTAATTGTTATTGTTTATAGCAAACATTACTTCAGAACAATGTGTACTTTTGAAATTGGTGTGTGGGAAACTGAATATCTCCTTCCTTACTGTGAAATTCAATGGCCAATTTCAGGTAAACAGGACTGAACTACCACAGCCTAGTTACACTTTTAATTAAATGGCAAGACACAACAAAGTCACACAATTAGATTGTGATGTTTCTAGGCTGAAAATGCAATTTCCAGGCACTTGGTAAAATATTCTTTCTAAAACACTATAAAAACTCTCTAAAGAGTTTTTACTAGAAACAAAGAAAGAAGAATACTCATCAATAAATGTACAAAAATATTATTGAGCTATTATGCACATATATTCATATGTGTATTTTGTATTATATTCAGTGATCACATTTAAGTATGAATTAGATTCTATGTTTTTTAAATACTATTTTGAAAATGCAAACAAAAACGTCTTTGTGTTTACCTCCTTTTTTGAATAGACAAAAGTATCCCTTCCTGTAAGTGATAGTCGGAGCTTTTTCAGTTGTGCTCAAGAAGAACTGGATATAGGGGAAGGTAAGAAAAGGCAGGTTGCAGTGGTTGGGATGGTTTTCATTAGCTCTGGAGCACATTTGTAATCTGATAAATGGCATGATCTGTTGACCTTTCTGTGCTAGTTTAGGATGGTTTCAGCATCACCACATCCACACACTTACCATGAGGACCAGTTCTGAATGTGGTCTTTCCCAGCCTATAGTGGCCTCTGTGAAATGCCAGTCCTGGTTGAAAGCTACCCTCATAGAATGCTAGAAGACTCATTGCTGTACTTTTTAGTACTACTCATAAATGGAGATTCCTTCTATCTGAAATTTAGACTTGGAAACTACAACTGAAAACTTAGTCTGTTAGAAAAATTTTTCTATTTATATCACTGTATAGCATGGCTGTAAGCATAATGAAGGGCTGTTGATTTGATGGAAGAATTCAGATCTCTTCTAACTAAGAATCTGAAATCAAAAATAGCTTTCAATGTTTGTACAGATATCTCAAAAAATAAGGCAGTAAGATACATGTCTTCGGTAAAGTCATTACTGAACATTCACAATATTTTGTTTTTACATTAATCACTAATCCAAAAGACATTGGGATAATCAATATTGATAGGTCAGTCCACATCCATCACAATGCAGCTTGATGGTTTATCTTATGATGTATGCCTTGTTTAAGATCTTTTTAAAGTGTTGTTTAAAGATCTTTGGTAAAACACTTGTTTCTCTAGAGATTAGGCAGGACTCATTCCTTCTCCTCTTCTTACCCCTGCTTGGGTTTCTTCTAAAACTGCCTTCCAGGTAAGTTTTCAGAAGATTTATTCATCGTATGTATTTTATGTATGAATGTTCTGTATACATGTATGTCTGCATGCCAGAAGAGGGTTAGAGAGCCCACTATAGATAGTTATGAGATGCAATGTAGTTGTTCAGAATTGAGCTCAGGACCTCTGGAAGAGTAGCCAGTGCTCTTAACTTCTGGGCCATCTCTCCAGCCTCCACATTATTATTATTGTTATTATTATTATTATTATTATTATTATTATTATTGAAATTGTCTTACTGTGTAATCCTGGCAGGTTTGGAACTCTACTTTTTTTTACAGAGATCACCTGCCTCTGCCTCCTCTGTGCTGGGATTAAAGGAGTGTGCCACCACACCCATCTTCCAAATCTTAACATCTTTGAAAAGGTCCAATTTCACTAGCAGAGATTTCAGCTTTCATTACGTTTACTGTTTCCCATCAACTGTGGTAAAACTAGTGTTCATATTAGTTATAGTAAATAAAATTAGGATTGAAAATTTTCAACTTAATTTGTGAAGAATTTTTTCAAAGTCACTTTAAAGAAAACCAGAAAAGGGGAATGTGAATTGACAGTAAGGCAAAATTGTTTTCTTCAGCTATGTACTTTGATATTTAGAAATCACCTTGAGTAGGAAAAAAAAAAAAGAGAGGAAAACGATAAGGAAGACATCTTTAATATATCACACAGTGATAATGATCAGCGAGCAAATAAGTGTAAGGAAACACAACAAATACAGTGTCTTCACTGACAACCATTTGCCTACGTATACATTGCTCTTGGAAGACTTATGAGTCATAATAATAATCTTTTAAAATGATGCTTTCATGAGTTTCAATTATGAATGATGTTACCTTCAATTGTTTTAAATGTTAAAGCAGGTTTTTTTTTTACTGATTTTTATTTATTTTTGGAATTATATAATTTAATTGTAACTTGTCACTTCCGTTTCCTCCCCCAAACCTCCCATGTACCCCTCCCCCAAACCTCCCATGTTCTCCTCCCTCAAACCTCCCATGTACCCCCCCCCCCGCAAAACCTCCTGTGTACCCCTCCACATAACCTCCCGTGTGCCCCTCTCCATTCTTCTTCAAATCCATGGCCTACTTTTCTACTAATTATTATTGTGGGCATATTAGTTATAAGTAAATCAAATTAGGATTGAAAATTTTCAACTTGTTTTGTGAAGAATGTATGTGGATACATATATATTCATAAATATAATCTGTGAAGTCTGTATACTGTTACTTACATGCATGTTTGTTGTCAAGGGCAGCCATTTGGCACTGCACAGGCAATTGGTATGCCGTTCTCTAGGGAAGACCACCTCTCTCACTTCCGACTTTCCTCAGTTGCCTGTAGTTCCTTTTAAAGTAAGAGAATATGGAAACATAGTACTTATTCTAATCTTCACAAACCGAAAAATGTCTATGCAGTGAATTATGATAAAGAAAACACTATTTTCCCATGTATTAGAATTTTTTTTTCACAGATTTGTGGACTCAAATTCTTTTGATGATGCCACATGGCTCTTAAATAGATTGGAACTTGTCACGTGTTTAAGCTTCCATGGACCAACCAGCACCTGGTTCCCTCCTATCATGCCTCAGTTTTCTCATGATTGTAGTCATGGTCAGTGTACACTGGCTTCTATTTCAGAGTCTTTGTATATTAATCACATTTCTCCTTTCTTCACCAGTAGGGCCGTTCCCTTCTCTACCTGTCATCCATCTGCTTTGCTATTGTTTAGCCAGTAATAGTAATGGGTTCCATGTGTTGCTCCCCAAATTTAGATTTCCCGATGTTGATAATATGTGTTCTTCACCTAGTATATTTTGTTCAATGATATGTACTTATGTATTTATGGATTATACATGGTGATTAATTAATATATAGTGTCTATGAGGAAGGCAAACTCTTTATGCTCAAGGGGCCTATTTTACCATTTAATTTTTCATTTAGCTCTTGAGCTAGTATGGGAAAAAGAGTCTATATTGCATTGTTACTTCAGCTACATTCATATTATTTCACTGATAACTTAGAAACTACTAAAAGTCTGAAATTTGTGAAGAACGACCTAACAAAACGTTTGTTGTAGTTTCTAAATGTAGTTTTGAGCTTGCTTGCCTAAGTGTAGTAATCATTTTACAAAGGGAAGACTTTCAGGGTATGTATGGGAGACTTACCTTGTGAAACTCCATCTCTTGGTTCACATTGCTGGCCAGGACGATGTTAACCTATTGTTCTTAGTGGAATGTAGGTTAAACGCTGGGAAAGCAGTCTCACAAAAGACATTGTAGATGTTTTGTCCAAAAGCTAGGGCACAATAGATATTCAGAGAACAAAACTGAGAGTTATGTTTTATAACCCTGGTGGCTGTTTTATTTATAGAATGGAAGTAAAGGCAAAAACAAAAGCAGAGTAAAAGATCTGACCCCTTCCTTGCTCAAAGAAATTAAGCCGATTTCTGTGCCACATCAGAACTTCTCTTATATTCCTGCTTTGACTGCTTGCTTCATTTGTCTCTTTATTATGATTTATATCCTTCCATATTTTCCCCTCTACTAGCTTTGAGTTCCTCTAAGAACAGGGTCATATATTTTTGTCAATTATTTTACAAAATCAGACAAATACTTTAGAAAACATTTAAGGTTATTTTTTGGGGAAAGTTTTAACTGTTCAGTGCAGTGTACATTCTTCACCACAACATAATAGAAAGAAACAATCTGAGTGTGCACTCTCCCGGGCTGGGGATAGAGCTCATACTGGAAAGTAGTTCAATAGCATGCATAAAGCCTTCACATTGGTCCCCAGACTTACATAAATCATGCATGGTAACATATGCTTTTAATTGCAGAATCCAAGTGATCAGGCAGAAAGATCCCAATTCAATGGCATCTTCAGCTACATAGAAAAGAAAGCTCAAGATCAGCATGCACTAAGGGAGTCTCTGTCTCAACAAAAAGCAAATCAAACCAGGACAGACATTATTATATCCTAACTTGGTGGAAAGTACATTTCATTAAATTCTGTCTCAAGATTTGAAATATAGTTTATGTGATAAACAAATAATTCCATTTTCCCTTTGGGGAAATGCAACATTAGATTGTGAGCTATATAAAGACAGGGCCATGTCTATCCTAATTCACAGAATAACATCGACTTGAACCTACGTAAGCTGATTAGTAACAGAAAGATTACACCTTTAGCACTTAAAAACCAGCTGATGGCTGGATATTGATTAGAAGCAACAGCCAGGTGTGTGTGTGTGTGTGTGTGTGTGTGTTTACTGGTATGTACATGGTCACAAATGTCTTTAATCAGCCTTCCCAAGATCCTCACAGCATCTTCAAATAGTCCCTCCTCTCTCTCTCTCTGAGGCAATAGAAGTGATTGACTCCAGTGTGACTCTTTTCTTTGGTAGTAGAGCTGAATTATGTTGCACAGGGGCCTCTTCAGCATCGCAGCTTTTCATGCATTGTCCTTGTGTAGGTGGGAGTCTTCAGTAGCCTAACTTTCTAAGAAGCCCAGGAAACTTCCTGGTGGATTGATACCTTTGATGTTTAACACTCTTTAAGTCACCTCAGTCAACTCATTGATTCAACACCCTGGACTTGGACGGGATCCTTTTGTCAGTCTCTCTGTATACTTTCTATCTGGGTGAATAAATGTTTTACCTAAGAAAAGAATCCTGACACATGTCCTCTAAGATTGTAAAAGAGTCTTGGGAGATTTGTAGAATTTTGATTTTATTGGAACAATATGAACAGAACACACACACACACACACACACACACACACACACACACATTATATATAATATATATGTGTATATATATATAAACATATTATCATAACAAAATGATAATACTTAAAGTTATTGAAAAACTGATGTGGAACGCATGGACATTTGGCATTCAGTTTAAAACAAAATAAAATCATACACTTGACTAACAGAATCTGTAAAATCATTGGCTCAACTATGGTCAATATGGTCCATCATTAGAAAGTTCATGAATTTAAAGCTTTTTGATGAATAAATACCCTTATTTAAAATGATAATAGTAGGACTGGAAGATGGCTTAGTTTCAGACATGTGTGTTATGGGACCATGATGATCTGAATTTCAATCTCAAACTCGTGTAAAAGACTAAGTGTTGCAGATACTTGCACATGCACAAAAAAAAAGGCAGTGTATTTGTGTCCCCATTTAACACTGAGCAAACACATGCAAATGCAGTTGTGAGATTAAAAAAAATACTAGGCATCTTTTGGGCATGTAATTTTCCTTCTTGGGCATAATTTTACAGTTTTTACCTGTTAGTTTTAAAGAAAAGGTGTCTCAATTGAGGGACTGTTCTTAATACATCTCTGATAAAATGCAAGCATAGTAATAGACTGAGAGTAATGTTACCTTAAGTAACACAAGAAAATCGAGGAGAGTAGAGAAACCATTTTGAAGCTGCAATAGATTATACTTTGTTGAGACATACTCCTGCTTAGATTACCATTGTCCTACAGTACCACCATAATACCAAGGAACATGAAGGACTCTGGGAGTATTGTCTATATGCCTGGGAATATTAAGAAATCTTAACGCTTCACTTAGAATGTCACTTTCCCCTTCAGCTTCCTTGCTGGTGTCTATTATGTCCAACATTGTTTTCTACCTACGTTTCTCATCTAGGGTAACCCATTCTACAACATAGCCAGAGTGAACTATTAGAAATTCAAATTTTTCTATATGATTCAACAGCTCAAGGAGGTTTAATGATTCTCCCTAAAGGGGAAATGAAAACACAAAGCCACAGGAGGACACAAACTCTTCTACCTCTCTTCTGTCCCTCCATTTCCTCATCGAAGCACCATGAGCACCAATGGTAACAGAAGTCTTTCTTTCCTTTTTCTTCTTAGACAAAGCCTCAATATAGAGCCCACACTGGCCTTGAAATACAGTGATAAATCTACCTCATGTTCTGAGTGTAGGGATTTCTGGTGACAACCAGGGAGCCAGGCTTTCCTCCTTCTTTTGATATTATTTGAATATGATATCTCCTCTCTGGCAAACCTCTGATGGCTGTCTTCTCCTTTCTTCTTCACCATTTCAAAATTATTTGTAATTCACTATCTGCAAACTTTTTATGTGTGTGTCTGGTCCCTGCATCCATGCAGGCTTAAGATGCTGTCACACTTAACACTGTGGCAGAATGGCAGCAAGGACTGCACAGGCTACAGGGAGAGGGGGGTTACTGACTGTTGGTTTTCCATCATAACTGATACAACATGAAGAGGCTATTATGAATGTCTTCCTAAAATACAATGTTCTGATATAGAATTGTGAACTTTGTGCAGACTACACATACAAAGTTCTTTGCCACCTTTGGAAGATGCAGTTTTCAACTGAGAAGTTACATTTACCTTTGGATCTTACATTCTTCTGAAGAAATAATGTGGCTTCCTCCCCACATTGGTCTTCTTTCATAATAATGGTGATGCAGGCAATCAAACGCAAACCTTTCTGATGTTCACTAATTGACAAACAATATACTCAGCATGCTAAAACAAGTTTCTCTTATTTTCATTCACAGAACAAGAAATTGTGTCACAAAGATATAAAGTGATTTTTCACAATAACAAATATTATATGTGCAAGTGCTGAGTTTGGTCCTAATCACCCCATCTCCATTGTTTGTAGTTCTAATCTAAAATATCTTGATTTTCTTATCAATCTATTTTCTGACTCTGACTTTGCTAGACTGTAATTCAACCTTTTAAGGAAACAATTTCATCGGCAAAGTGGGAGAAGTAAAACTTGAAGTTTGGACAAGTTCAAGACAGACAATGACTGATAGACACATTAGTGCTTGACACATGATCTGAAGCAGAAATCAAACTTAAATGACTTCTTAAAACATAAATCCCTCTTCCTCATCAACTATATATCATGGGGAATATATGTGTGTGCTGTTTCTTATTAACTTAATGTGTAACTCAGATTTCTCAGACACTAACAGCTGAAGGCAAGGCTACTTACAGTTGACTGGTATATGATCATGCCACCTCTCCACCTACCACTTCTCACAATTGCTCGTGATTTTCCAGGATATACCATGTAATAATGTACTTGTACCTCTTCTGCAGTTTTGTTTCTCATGCTTCCATTACCTAATAACAACTAGAAGAGTAAGACTAGCACTATGAGCTATGTTGAGGAAAGCGTAGGGGGAGGAGGAGGAAAGAAGGAAGGGAGGGAAGGAGAAAGAGAAGGGTCACATAACTTTTTCTACAGTGCATTACTATTGCTCTATTATTATTAGTTATACTTAACTCCTTACTATGCCACACATACAAATTAGTATTAATCATGTGCATGCACACAGAGAAAAAATGCACAATATATATAATATTTGATGATGCTATCACTGTTATCAGGAGCCCACTGAGGATTTCAGGAATATCTAATGTGGATGAGGGACAACAATGGTAGCATCATCTAGGCATTTTCTCTGTTTTGAAGATTGCCATATTCTCCTTAATGAGCTACACATTATTCATCTTCTAAGGCCTGGCATTCTTCCAACATTTGTGGGATGAACTGAAGCCTCTCTGCTCTCCTCGTATTTCTTCTCACAGAGTCTACATTATCTTTGGTTAACTTTCCTTTTTTTGTATTTCAATACTTCATATCAGATAAGTGATCTTGGCAGAGTGACCATGCTTATCATTCTATGTATTCCATCCATAGCCAAACATACTGACTGGTAAGGATAACTATTTAGTAAGTGAAAATTGGGTTACAGTGGACATAGGGAAAAAAAAAAGAACAACTTCAAACCAAACATTTCTTTTACTTCAATTTTACTCAGCTAAAATGCTAGAAATATTTCTTTTATTATTATTTCTGTTTTAAAATGTATACTAGTTGTTCTCAGAGCACAAACTATTGCATGTGAATAAAATGACTAAAGAGGACCCTTTTACTAATTTTCTATCCATATTACTCCCAGTGCACTCAAGATATATGAAAGGGCTTTGGTGAATTCCAGTGTGTAGTTAATTGACAATAACAAGCATGTTGTTTGTATTTCACTCTTTCTCTTTTGGAGGGTCTACCACCCAGCTCCCAGATAAATCACGCAGAGGCTTATTCTTACATATGAATGCCTCACCTTAGCTTGGCTTGTTTCTTGCCAGCTTTCCTTAACTTAAATTATCCCATCTACCTTTTGCCTCTGGGCTTTGCCTGTTCTTTTACTTCTATACATCTTACTCTAACTCCATGGCTTGCTGTGTAGCTGGTTGGCTGGCCCCT